GTTTAGCTGGGGCTGTGATTGCTGGCCTATGGGATCTACAGCTCTGGGGCTTCACTAAAACCGAGTGACCACCACGTGGATTCCACCCCCAACAAGCCCCTGCGTTGCAGCATGGCACTGCCCTTCCGCAAAGGGTTTAAGGCTGTGGTCTTTCGAACATGGCCAGGCCTTTCTTTCAAGGAGTCTCGCAGTGTGTTTTCAGGAGTAGCTGAGCATTTAACAGTTGATGACACCCAGGAAACGGCCAAATAGTTTTCCCACATTAATTAAGCAAATTTACATACTCAAGAGCAGTAGCTCTGGATCTCTGTGAACACTTACCAAACTCTTCATTTGAGCCATTCTGTTGGGTATCTATTTGCATTATAAATTTGTTTCCCAATTAACTCAATAAATTAAATACATTTGTATGCATTCATTGGCTACTTGGATATTTCTTTTGGCATGTGCCTGTTCAGATTTGGTACCCGCTTTTATACAGGCTTAACTGGCTTGCCTGCAATGTCTTCCTAACCCAACCCCCACCCAATAGTAATAATTATTTATATGCTTTGGATAGAAGACTTGTGTAGGGCATAGTCATTTGTAGAAAGTATCCTTGCATTCTGTTACCCATCCTCTCTCTTATAATAGTATCTTATCTATTTTATTATGGTAGAATTATGTGTAACATAAAATCTGCCATTTCAACTATCTTAGAGAATACAATCCAGTGATATTAATTGCATTTGCAATATTGTACAACCACCAGTACAATTTGTCTCCAAGCCTTTTTCTTACTCCCAGACAGAAGTATATCAGTGCCTTTTGAATAACAGATATTCTTAATTTTTATATTTTTGAACTTACCCATGCTTTTCTTTCTGCCTTGATGCTCCTTGCATTCTGTTTAAAAATATGTGTTTACCTTTCCCGACACAGTTGTAAAGATGTTCTCTGATGTACTCTTGTAGAAATGACATCACTTGGTATTTTACATTTAGGTGTTCAGTCCAACTGGTTTGGGGGGTTTTATTAACTCGAAAGTGTCCCCCCTCTTCAATGTAACTTACTTCGTGCCCCATAATGTCCTCTGGATTCAACATGTTGAGTTTTACCAACTCATCTCCACCCACAATTTTACAGCCCACCATTTGTTTATCCATGCACCTGTTGTGAATAATGCTGCAGCGAATCTAGGTGTGCATAGGTTTACATGTGTCACCACTAATTTCTCTAGGATATGTATGTAGGTGTAGGATTGCTGGATCATAAGATATTTCTATTTCTATAATGGTGCATTTTGCAATCCAACCAGCAATGTGGAAGAACTCCACTCTCCCCAGAGCCTCACCAGCACTTGTTAGCTTGAGTTTTATTGATCATAGCTATTCTTGGTAGGGATTGTTGTCTCGCTGCAGTTTTGATTTTCATTTTTTTGGGTGGCAAATGTTTATGAGCATTTTTTCATGTATTTATTGGCTGCCTGGATGTTTTCTTAGATGAAGAGGACATTTCTGTGTGTCTTTTCCTGTTGTTTTTTTTTTACTTTGATTTTTGTTGTTGCTCTAACTAGATTAGATTGTTCTTTTGTTGTTGTTTTTTAAGAAAATAATTTTAGATATTTGATCCTTATCTGACATGTTGTTTAAAAAAATTCCCGAGTCTGTAGGTTCTCTCTTCACTCTCTTTTGATAAATAAAACTTAAACACTTTTATCCAATTTTGGTTGTTATTGTGAATTGTTCTTAGAACAGCATCTGCAATTACTTCTGTTTTCTGGGTCTGTGTAAAATCTCTACCTCCACTTGTCTGTACTGCTCTGTTACTTCCTTTTCACTGACAATCGTGGACTTCAGTTGCTCCTCTGTTGCCAAAGTCTTATAGTGTAAGGAGGAACTTTTGATTTGGACCCTTCCTGTTTGATGCATCAGTCGATGTAAATTCTCCTCTGAGCACTGCTGTGGCTGCGTTCCAAAGGCTTTGGGATGTTGGGTTTTTTGATTCTCATTTGATTCTAGGAACTTTCAAATTTCATTCCGTTTCCATGTCTTTAATTTTTTTTCTTCATCCTTTGCTATTGATTTTTAGTTTTATACTCTTCTGATCAGAGAAGATCCTTTGTATTATTTTGATTTTTTTTTAAAAAATATGCTGAGGTGGTTTTGGGGGTCTAATAGCTGATCTGTTCAGGAGAATAATTTATGTGCATTAGGGAAGAATGTGCCCGGCACAACTGCTGGGTAATATGTACTGTATCTGCTTATGAGGTCAGGCGGATTGATTGTATTATTTACAGCTTCTGCTTCTTTTTTGCGTTTTCTTTCTGGTTGTGTACGTTTATATTTTTGTTGAAGATTAGGTAGATAGTTTTGTCCCTTTGCCTTCCAACATTTGGCAACTTCCACATTAAAAAAAGGTATCTGTTGGGGTTTGCACTGATACTACGGCATTGTTTATACTACGGATTATTCAAGGGGAATTTGACATTATAATGATAATCAAGTTTTCCAACCCTAAAAAAATATTTCTTCATTTACGTTGATCCTCTCTAATTCCTGTTAATAATGTTTTATAGATTTCCATGTAGGATTTTGGGAGAAAGATGAGGCTTTGAGGAGCTGATAATAAGGGCTCAAATACAAAGATAATGTTTTGTAAGTGACAACATATATATAAGTTTGCTTGATATAATTGATTTATGGGTTGATAGACTATCTGTCAGAGCCACCAATAAAGTGATTTAAAAGAACCGAGAAAGAAAGAAAGATGAGGCTTTCGACTCCTGTGAAGAGTTACACTCTCGGAAACTCCCGGGGCAGTTCTACCCTGTCCTGCAGTCACTGTGAGTCCCAATTGACTAGATGAGAAGGAGTGAATGGGTGATGTCGGAGTTTTGCATATCATTTATTAGACATGTGTGTACATGTGCGTTCTCTTTATGCTATTTTTCTCTTTAAACTGTTGCTGCCTATAAGGCATCATCAGAACAAAAATCTTACCATAGTGAATGATGGGGG